ACATTGTACTTCCTAGATCACCAGTTTATTATGAAAGGATATCCACTTAGTTACAGCCAGACGAAGAGGTGCATAAAGCAAGGCATGAGGAAGGGTCAAGGACCGCCCATGCCCTCTCCAGGTGGCCACTCTCCCTGGATCTCTCCGTGTTCACCGAACAGGAAACTCTCCAAACCCCATCGTTCTGGGTTTTTATGGAGGCTTCCTCAGTTGGCATGATTGATTAAACCGTTGGCCTTGGCAATGGACGCAACCTCCAGCCCCTTCTCCATGGATATTGGAGGTGGGACTGAAAGTTCCAACCATCTAATCACATAGTTGGTTCCCCTGGCAGCCAGAGCCTCCTTAGGTGACCTAGGGGATTTCCAAAATTCACCCCATTAACGCAACGAGAGACCCCTTTGTTGTTGTCGTCACTTAGGAAATTCCAAGACTTTTAGGAGCTCTCTGCCAGACAGGGGACAAGGACTAAACATTCATATATTTCTTATTATAAATCACAGTCTCACTACTAACGGTGGCCACAGTTGAAGCAGAGTGATGGGGCATGGGTCACGACTTAAGGATACGGCACAGCCACTCTGCTCTCCAGAAGGAAATCCTGGGCCAGCAAGGTTCGAGTGGGAGCAGGACTCCACCTGCACCCAGCTGGCTCCAGTTGGGACCACGGGGCCTAGAGGAATAAATCGGGGCCTGGCAGGCAGCTTGTGGATAAAGAGAGAACAGAGTGGCCTCCTTCCATGCTCTTCTTGTCCCAGTTTCCTATCATGCAGGTAGTTAGAGAAGGAACGCAAAAAATGCATCAAGAGGTAAGGGTGGGCATGTGTGTGTGAGAGAGAGACAGAGACAGAGAGAGATTGAGACAGAGAAAGAGTGAGAGACTGAGAGAGAGACAAAGACAGAGAGACAGAGAGAGAGACAGAGAGACACAAAGGCAGAGAGAGAGAGAGAGAGCCAGAGATAGAGAAAGAAAGATAGACAGAGGCAGAGAGAAAGAGTGGGAGACAGAGACAGAGACAGAGAGACACAGAGACAGACAGAGAGGGACAGAGGCCTGGGCGTGTGTCTGGGACAGGGGGCCATTCGCAGCCAGAGCCACATCCATCCTAGTGTTGGAAGAGAAAGCAAACGTGAGCAACTCAACTCCTGGCTGCCGGGCCGCGCCCGCTCGCCCTGCGCAGCTGGCCGCAGTGGGGCAACATACATGTGGCGAAGCAGGCCCAGCTTTTGCAGCATAATGGCTGTCATGGCACTGAACGATGACCTTGAGTCCCCCCGGGAGCAGCAGCCACCTAGATTTACCACGGGGCACGCCCCGCTCTTGGTGTGCAGGCAGGCACCTGGCTTGGACACACGGGTCGGAGCCCCCCCCTCCACCCACTCCCTCCTTTCAGTTCAGACACTCCTTCTCCAGGTGGAACAGGGCTTCTGAGCAGCGGAGCTCAGAGCAACAGGACAGGAAGCGTGCACCCGACTTGGCCTCTGCTGGCCCGTGGTGCAATTCCTCAGGCCTCTTTCCTAGGAACTAGAAGGTTCTGGCCTGAGATGCAGGAAGGGAGGCCTCCTGGAGGCTGCCAGCTCCCCCTCTGGGGCCCTGCTGAGGGGCAAGACAGCGACAGGAGAAGAGCAGCTGGGCAGGTGCCTCTCGGGGTTAAGAAGGTGCCCTCTCACCTCAGGGCAAGCCCGGGTTTAGGCGTGCTGCCAAGCCCTCCCGTGAAGGCGGTGGGGCGAATCCTGCTGGAAGCTTCTCCCTGCTCTCTCCAAGTTGTGGGGCACTTTTAGAGGCTGAGTCACCCCATGAGAGCTGCCACCAAGACCGGGGAGAGGCAAGATGTCTCGGCAGATGGGGAAAACGCGCGTCTCATTTCCTTTCTCTGTTTTCCTTTTTGTTGTTTTTGGCTGGTTGAGTTTCAGCAGAAATACACTGCTGTTCAGCTGAAGACAAAGTTCTTACTCAATAAATTTTCTTTGCAAAGGGATTCTGAGAAATACTTTTTGGGGGGGACACCAAACTCTGATAGATTTATGTTAAGCAGATCTTTAAAACAATGATACGAATGAGTTAGCGTCACAGTTTTCCACTTGCATTTTCCCCTTTCTGGTCCCTGTAAAAGTTGTAAGAGTGTGCACTGGTGCAGTTGGCGGCACACTGACTGGGGTTTCGGGGTGGGAGGCAAAGCTGCAAGGAAGCTTGACCTTTAGGCCTGTGAGTGGGACATGGATGTTATGTCTACTTCCGGAAACCCGTTGTCAGAATACCTCCAGCTTTAGCTTCCAGCTCCATTTTTTTCAGGAATATGAATTGTTTTGTGTGGGATCCAAGCCCTCTCCATTAGGAATTCGTCCATTCAACAAATATGAATGGAGTGCCTTGACCACTGGCATTCCAGCCGGCCTCTCCTCTTAGCAGTGGGATGAAGCCTGTAGCACACACATTTATGACCTTGGCTGCACATTCAAACTATCTGGAAAGCCATGGAACAATCTCGATGTTTAGGCAATCCCATTTCTGAGTCCTTACCCAAAACTATTGAAAGCAGGGACTCTGCCAGCTGTTTGTAGAGCCATGTTCATAGCAGCATTATTCACAATACCCCAAAGCTAGAAACAACCCAAATGTCCATCAACAGATAAATGGAAACACAAAATATCGTGTATACACACCATGCAATTATTCAGCCTTAAAAAGAAAGGAAATTCTGACACCTGCTACAACAGGGGTGAACCTTGAGGACGTTATGCTCAGTGAAATAAGCCGGTCACAAAAGGACAAATGCTGTGTGATTCTACGTATACAAGGTCCCTAGAAGAGCCAGAGTCGTAAAGACAGAAAGTAGAATGGTGGATGCCACAGCTCGGGGAGGGGGGAGGGGAGCTGTTTAATGAGGACAGAGTTGCAGTTTTTCAGGATGAAAAAGTTCTGGATATGGATGTACATGTGACTGTATTTAGTGCCATTGAACTGTACACTTAAAAATGATTAATGGTAAGTTTTATATTATGTAGTTTACCACAAATTTTTAAAAATCGCAGTGTTTAGGCTCTGTCTCAGTGCAGTTTGACCAGCTTTCCTGGAAGCGGATCCCAGGCACTGGGTTCCACTGTGCAACCCAGACTGAGGGAGTGCTGTAGGTGGTTCCAAAGCTATGGACGTCGGCCGGCTTCTAGGAGGCTTCAGTGGCATGGCTGATACTTGTCTTGAAGAAGCTGATGTGCTGAAAATATGGGGAATAAAGAAATTCTGAGCACTTCTCCAGATTACTTGCAGAAGTAATGAGATCCTCGTTGGGGTCTGCCTTTATTCAACAGACATCTGAATTCACGTGGCTACCCAGGCTGGTGCTCACTTCACTTAATGCCCATGTGTTGATCACCATGTGTGGCAGGCATTCTGCTAGGTGCCGGGCCACCACGAGGAACCAACCCTACAAAGTCCTCTGCCCTCAAAGAGCTCCCATCCCAGTCAGGAACATGGTACAATTTTAAAAATGTGCAAAATTTATACCATGCATCTGAATGTGGTAACTGATATGGAAAAAATGGCACAAAGTAAAGGGGGATAAGAGGGTCGGTATGGGGTGGTTATGAGGGGGAGTTATTATTTTTAAAAATATCTATCTGGCTGGATACCATAAGACCAAAGACAAATAGAATATTCATAAAGACTGCACTCCAATGGTAATTTATTCCTTACAGGAGTAAGGGTCAGAGATTCTGGAACTATTTTACCTGTAGACAAGGGTTAAACACATCAGTAAATACAAGGTACATAACGAGATCCAGGTTTCTGACTTTACAGAGAAAGAAGCTACCAACAAGCGTGGGGAGGATGCTGGAGTGAACCCTGTCCTCTGGATTCCAGCCAGAGATCTCAACACGACCTCCCGTTTATTTTAATATGTGTACAAATGAATAGATACAGAAATGAACCTGTGTGTGTGTACATGGCTAATATACACACGTATCTTTTCCATCTCCGCCTGCTGAGAGGACCTGGAAGCTGTGACACCCCAGTAGCAATGAGCACACCCAGCACCCACAGCTTGGTTTCTAACACCTTTCTCCAATAAAAGGAACCAGGACTCCTTGGAGAAATGGTTGCTTCTAAGGCTGGGACAGGGAGAATGTAAGATGAGCTCAGAGCATCTTGTGGTGGTAGAAAGTAAGGAAGTGATTTTTTAAAAATGGGAGGGGGCAGGGATAGGAGCATGTCAAAGGAACCAACCTGAGAGAGCCACCAACTATCAAAACGGGAACAATTTTAGCAACAAAAATAAATAATGGTAGTATTTGATTATGCCCTAGAGAATAAAATAGTCATGAGTCCTTATTGATATAAATAAATGATTGAATACATGAATAAAATGGGAGAAGAGGAGCACATCTTCCTTGCCAAATGATTCTAGTCCATGAACGTGCAGGGACTGAGGGAAATGGAAATTACCATGAGATCACCACAGTCATAATAGCTGCAGACAAGGTCAAGACTTTGAGAAGCAGGACACTGACACAGCCTCAAAGCTTCTACCCCAATATATTTCCTAATTACTGTGTTAGTTTGAACATATGTCCACAAATTCTTCAACATCCCACCCTCCAGGAAGCGAAGCTGAATTGCCCTGCTCTAAGGACAAGGAAAGATAGTGACTTTGCAGTGGAGAGACCTGGCAGACGCCATCTTAACCAGGTGATCAAGGTGGACATCCCAAGGTGGCAAGTGATGGTGGCATCATGTACCCCTTGATATGATGAGATGATACAGACACACCACCTCTATAGTATTCTCCTCCAAATTCATGGCTTCAGGGTAATCAAGAGAAAACACCAGACAAGCCCCATTTGAGGGGAATCTTACAAAATATTTGGCTAATATTATTCACAAGTGTCTCTAGACAAGACCTTGCACTTTTCTAGATCTCGTTTCCTAACCCGTGAACCGAGGGGATTGACCAGTAGCCACTTCCAGAGCTTTTATCCTCTTGTTTCATGTGTAATTGCAGGAACCAGCGACGGGGCTCCTTAAAGGGAGAAGTAGGGCATCGATGAGCATTACGGAGCCTATCTAGCAGCACCCTGTCTGAAGCAGTTCACACACAATCACAAATCAGAGGTGAGATGAAGGCAATTTTCCCTCCATTTACAATTACTCAGTAAGCTCAACATGATAGTTGACCAAACGTTATAAAATCCTTCTAGATGACATCAACAGCCGTCCCTTTCATAAACTGGAAATGCATGTGTGTGTTTTGATCCAGCAGGTCAGTTTATTGCTGTCTTACCATATCTGGAGGCTGACTTCACTGTGAGAGATGTCGAACCCTCCGGTTTCAGAGAATGTGGGTCCAAATCTAAATGATCAGCCTAGGCCTCCTTTCTCTAATCACAGCCAAGCACAATAGGAAAATCTTTGTAATTAATTCAGCTTAAAATTAATTTTTTCTCTCTTCCCAGGACAGGCAGTGAAAGGCTTTGCTTCTGATGACCATCTCCCAACCCTGCTGACCGGGGCTCTTGGGGGATGAGCCCCCGCAGGCACCTCCTGTGGGTCATGCTGCCACGCACTACCACACGGGCTGGGACCTGTAAGCAGGGTGAATGTAGGGGAAGCACAGGAACCCGGCTCGAGATGCGGCTCAGGTGGGCTCAGTCTGGCTGTTGGGCAGAAAGGTGCTCCATGCACAGAACGCAGCAAGGCCCCTTGACTGAAACCGGTGCCCACTCAAGACGCTTTCCCCACGACCAGCTTTACCGTCCTCGCAGTGTGAATTCTTGTTGTTACCAAGGGGTTCTAGGATGTTCTCTGACGTCAAATGCTGCTCAGACAGCAAAACCACATTTTGACAAATTTAAGGAGAAACAGACCAAAACCGTTCATGGATTTAATTGCTCATAAAACACAGATGGATTGAAAAGATTAAGAGGGAAAATATCTGGGCAAAATAAACTCGGAGTTAGTAAACACACAGCACATGTGAAAACTGTTTGAGACAGTGGGAACAAAGTACTGGGGTCAGATCACCCAGCCCCGTTAGTGATCTCTGATCTCGGCCTCAGGCAGCCAATGGCAGCATGAGTCCCGTGCAAGGCCCTGTACACTGCCCGTCTAATGGAGGGAAGCCCGGCCCCAGGACGCCCCAGGGCGGGAAGACCCTCCAGGAGCACAGTGCACCCAAGAGCCCTTCCTAATACACCAGGGGCAGCTTTCACAGCCCCCCAGGCCGCAAAGCATTCATATTGGCTGCTTTCCCACTGGCTCGTGGCTGTTCCAGTGAGCCGAGAGCAGGATCTAATCTGACTTCAGCTTGAAACAGGAATTACGTAAGAAAGTTAGGAGAATTCCTGGATTTGGAGCTCGCCCTTCAAATATACCTCTTTTGAAATATTGGTGGCCTTCTTAAGCACGGTCCGAGGTTCCTGACATTTGAGTTTCTAATTTAAGACTCACTTATTGGGGCTTACTTGCCTTCCTCAGTATTTCAGCCATTCTGAAAATAGAATTGGAGGACATTTTCCCAAATTTCCTTCAAGACATATGCTATTTTATTAATTATTTACTCAGAGTAATTACACCAGGAAATCATCGCCCTTCATCAGTTTAACCGCAGTTAATAGCAAATGCATAGATTCCTTTTGGAAGGATGTCTCACACGGTGTCTCAAATGGCATAGTGGAAAAACTTGAGCACACCGTCATTAGGGGCGTCAGTATCTACTCTCAGCAAATCCTATTGCCCCTGTGACATTCCAGGTTAGCTAAAACTGCATGTGGCTTAATGTTGCAAATAATATGATTATTTTATGAACGTTTTCCTGCAACAAGAACAGACCTAGATATGAAAAATGATGCTCAATATAGTAATCTGAAAGCTATTCTAAAAGTGAGTTAGACACAGCTACAACTATACTTGCTAGAAACAGTGTCCTCACTTAACCATTTTCTCTGTAATTTGAATTGCCCTCTTTTAGCATCTGTCAGCAATGAGGCATCTTGTTGAGCTTGTAACCCAGCAGGAGGGTAAGATAGTGTTTAAGATAATCAGAACTTCCCCCACAGCAACACACACATTATTTTATTTTCTATTCTTCCTGGTAAATCTCAGATATTTATCCTACTGTATGAGCTAAAATTATTTTCGCTCAAGGCTGCCCCATCTTCCTCCCAAAGAAGCATAACAAGAAATTGGGTTTCAAATGAATATTGCATTTGACCCTAAAGAATACCATATGAAAATGGGTGCCAAAATCCAGTGTTCAGGTTGATGTTGTTGACTGTTTTCTTTAAATCCCTTTACAGATGTCACCTCCCACCATACTCCTCCCTCCACTTTGGGACGAGTGTTTCTCATACTTCAAGAGGCAGCTCAATATTTGCCTTGTCTAGGAACATTTTCATGGTTCTTGTAGCATCTCATTCTGAGTTAGGATGCTTTCATGTGCTCCTATAGGACCTAGTGCCTACCTCTATCTCAAAACTTACATCATTTTGTAAGGGGCAATTTATTTGTCTATCCTGCCCACTGATTTCAGTGGAAGTCCAAGTACAGATCTTCTATTTCTGAGAATTCATACATAAACGCCTCCGAGCAGTCGACTGAAAGCCCCCTGAAGGCAGCCGTCTTGTCTGCCTCTCTCATTGTGATGTCTCCTGACACATGACAGATGCTCAGTAGATTTTTGTCCAATGAAGTAGCGAATTTCAATTTAGTAGAATAAGTGTAATATACTCAGTAACTGATGCTGTCATAATTGTACAAATCTCTGGAAGGAAAAGTTTCTCTCTGGGCCAGATGTAGGCAAACTCTAGCCCACGGCCTACTTTTGTACCTAGGGCAGCCAAATGTGGCTTTTATAGTTTCGAATCATTTTTTAAAAAATCAAAAGGAGAACAACGTTTCATGATGTGAAAATTATACGAAACTCAAATTTCAGAGTCCACAAGTACAGTTTTATTGGGACCCAGCATGGTCATCCCGTGTGTGTCTGGTCTCACACTACAGCTGCAGACTGGACCAGCGGTGACATGACAGCTGCGTGGTCTCCTCGCTCTGCACTGTGGTGCACCACAGATCCATGGCTTCTCTGGTGCCACTTGTACTGTCGTCCTGTGACATTTTATTTTATTTCAGTACACTTCATCTTGTCAATCAAGAGAGGAGGAGGAAAGCAGACACCAAATGTCACACTTTCAGGGCACAGTGGGGTGGATTATTTGCTATGCTGAAGAATACAGAATGCATCGACATTACCAGACTAAACATTCATCACCAGATTCCCAACTACAGGCAGAAAACTAGAAAATTTAAAATGGAACACCTTATGACAGTGGAATTTCTCATAAAAATTATCTTTCTATAGATAGAAAGATAGATAGATAAATATGTAGATAGATAAATAAGTAGATAGATAGGTATAGATATAGCTACAACCAAAGTAAGTTTCCAAGTGTCTCGTTTATTAACCAAGCAAACAAAGCCATTTGGGGACGTTCGGTTAACTAGATTGCGTTTGATTGCAGCAGTTGAAGAAATGCGTCCAGAGAAAATGAATCTGTTTAAGAGCACCAGTTCTTTAGCGCGCACGCTTCTGTGAAGAGCTGAGGACATCAGGAGGAACCACAGTAGTCGATTTAAGAGCAAAATTATAAAACTATTACAGACAATTACAAAAGGCAAAATTATAATCCGTTAGATGACGATATGAGAAGTGATCTTTATCACTTTGGGGATGGGAAAGCTTTTTAAACAAGACTAAAATATTGCAAACCCATAAAGGGGAAGATTTAAAATTCCTATTTCAATAAGTTAAAAACTTAGATCATTCAATAGATATTATAATCTCATAATGAAAGAATGCAAATTAGAATTACCCTTTTTCAAGCAACAAAAATCCAAAATTTCAGATCTCACCAAAACGGCAAGTTTGGGAGGAAAGAGGTCCTCTCCTTCACCAGCCGTGGGAAAATATAGAATTTAAAATAAATAAATAAAATAAATCTAGGCCCTTAAGTTAAAAACTTCAATGATTTTTTTAAGGTATATTAGTAAAAATTGGAAAGATAAGCCATTTAACTATGCTATGATCCTGGTGACACATATAAATGATAAATTTTTATTATTCAGCAAGTGTACCTAACTACAAATTAACTATTAGAAAAAGGTTAAATTGCACTACAGAAATGGACAAAAAGATTGAACATCACTTTATATTAGACTCTCAGTGATTAGAGGAAGCCACTAGAGTTAATGAAGTTCTGAATACCATTAATCTCATTAAAAATCTGGGACATGCAAATCAGCATCAAAATGAGATGCCTTTCACTCTCATCCAACTGGAGACAACTCAACGTCTGATGACATCGTGTGGGTGAGGATGGAGCTGGAGGAGCTCTTGTGTACTGCCACTGAGAGTGGAAATTGGTACAGCTACTGTACTTTAGAAAACAAATTCCACTCCTCAGAATACCCTTAAGATACATGTGTAGCAGAATATAGAGAGACAGCATTCATAGAGCGTGGCTTACAATGGCAAGAAACTGGATACAACCAAAACTCCACCAAGAGCAGAAGGATAAATAAATTGGGGTATATTCATTTGGTGGAATTCTACACAGCGGTGAAAATGAATGAAATAAACTTAAAGCAACAACACAGATGAATTTCACAAACACAATATTTAGTATGAAGATGAGTCACAAATACCTGCTGTAGGATTATATTTACGTAAAATTTAAAAATATTCAAAACTAAACACTATGTTTTTAGGATACACACATGTATAGTAAAATTCTAAAGAAAATCAAGGAAATAAAATCACAAAATAAGGGGCCAGCCCCGTGGCCGAATGGTTAAGTTCGTGCGCTCTGGTTCGGCGGCCGAGGGTTTCGCTGGTTCGGATCCTGGGCGCGGACACGGCACCGTTATCAAGCCATGCTAAGGGAGCGTCCCCCATGCCACAACTAGAAGGACCCACAACTAAAATATGCAACTATGTACTGCGGAGTTTTGGGGAGAATAAGAAAAAAAAACACAGAATGACCAAGATAATGGATAGCTCTGAAGGAAGAGGAAGTGAGAAGAGATACGCTTGGAGGGGTGGCATCAGAGCAGAGTAGATGGGACCCCAAAAATGTAAGCATAGCTATCTATTCTTAAACGGATTGATGGCTGCAGGTTGTGGGTTTTATCTTTATTCTTTACATCTTAAACAAGTGTTATAAATATTTTTATTCCATCTGTTACTTATTAAAATTACTAAATTTTGAATTTGCTAATCTTGCATTAATGGAACAAAAACTGTTTGTTTATGGAGAATTATTATTTTAATGTATCATTGTATTCTATATTCTTGTATTTAATTTAGAATTCTGGCACCTGCATTCAAAAATAAAATGCGGTATCTAGTTTTCTTTATCAGTATTATCATCTTAAGCTGTTGATAAGATTGTTGCTAACTTCACAAAATAAATTGAAGACCTCTCAACTCTTTTGTGGTCTAGAATTATTTAAATACCCAGGTATTATCTGTTTTTTGTTTTGTTTTATTTCATTTTTTCAATAATGATGAACTTCATCTATTTTAAAAGTTCTTTCATTCTAAAATATAAGTAGAAGCAAAGGAATATTCAAGTCATTTAGGAGTTTTTTGATGCTGTTTTTAAAATGTAAGAATCTCCAACATCTTTCCCCTACGTGTTGAGTAAGGTTTCCTGAAGCGGAATCAGTGGGTTGCACGACTTTCAGGCCTCTCAGCCGGTGCACTGCTCCTTAGTGGACGTGGGCAAGCATTTCATGCAGAACATTCCCAGCTGTTCCGTGGAAAGAACTCAACTCACGCTCAGGGCACTCTTCATGTAGGAGTTCGAGTGCCTCAGTTCACCCACTGAATGACCCCAGCTAATGTGAGAGAGCAGCTCAGGATGCTGGGTTGAATGAGGAGACACAAAAAGAGAGGTCTGCCTTCTAAGCCCTGGAGACTGTGAATATTAGCTTATTTGTAAAAGGGTCTTTGAAGATGCAATCAAATTAAGGATCCTGAGATGAGGAGATCATCCTAGGTTACTGGGTCGGGGTTGGGGGTAGCGAAATCCAATGACAAGTTTCCTGATAAAAGACGGAAGAGGAGAAGACACAGGCACACAGAGTGAAAGGCGATGTGCAAAAGGGGAGAGACTGGAGGGAGGCGGCCATGAGCCGAGGAAGCCAGAAACCCACGGAAGCTGGAAACGACAAGGCAACAAGCCCCATCTAGAGCCTCCAGAGGGAACATGGACCTGCCAACACCTTGATTTAATCATTTGGCCTCCAGAACTGTGAGAGAATAAACTGCTATGACGTTAAGCCACTCAGTTTGTGGTGATTTGTTATAGCAACCACGGGAAACTAATAAAGATTGTTGTATCAGAAAGTGAGTTGCTTCTGTACCACCTCCCTAAAAATGGGGAGGGCATTTTGAAATTCGGCGGTGGGCAGAGACCAGATTAATTTTCAAGCACATGATAGAAAAAGCCTAGATTGCCTTGAAAAGACTGTTGATAGAATTATGGGTGATAAAGCCTGCAAGCGAGGGCTCAGGAGACAGTAAGGAGCACGGTGGAGAAAGCGTCTATGGTCTTAGAGAACACGTGCGTAGTCGGAAGCAGAACGTTGGTAGAATACGAACCCTAAAGATGCTTTTGCTGAGGGCTTGGAAGGAAATGAAGACCATGTTACCGGAAACTGGAGGAAAGGCCGTTCTTATTATGTAGTGCGGATGACTTAGCTGAGTTGTCTCCTTCTCTTGCGTAAAAAACAAAACTTTTAAGCAACGAAATGGCGTATTTAGCTGAAAGGATTTTCAAGTGAAGTATTGAAGGAATAGTCTGATTTTTATTTGCTGCTTATAGTAAAATGCAAGAGGAAAGAGGTAAATCGAGGAAGAAACTGTTGGGGAAAAAGGAATCAAAAAAGGATGACTTGAGGGGCTGGCCCAGTGGCACAGTGGTTAAGTTCGCACCTTCCGCTTCAGTGGCCCAGGGTTCACTGGTTCTGATCCCAGGTGCAGACCTGCACACCATGTATCAAGCCATGCTGTGGCAGACGTCCTGTATATAAAGTAGAGGAAGATGGGCATGATGCTAGCTCAGGGCCAGTCTTCCTCAGCAAAAAGAGGAGGATCGGTGGCAGGTGTTAGCTCAGGGCTAATCTTCCTCAAGAAAAATTTTTAAAAAAAAGGATGACTTTAGAAATTTGCAAAATGTGATAATATTAGGAGATTTGCTGTTAAGAGTGTGCAGTGCAGAGTCCAAGGGAGCAGCTGGACAATCTTTTGCTGAAGGGATTATGTGTGTCTCATGGATCCACTCAAACATTTCAGTGGAGCCAGAAATAGCGATGGGGTCATTCAGGAAAGATCTGTGGCAGACTCTCTTGTCTAACGGTGTGGATCCCCATGGCATACATTAGAGACCAAGCAACAAGGCTTTTGACAATGTTATATCAGCAGGAACATAGCCAGCTTGGACTGAAGGGGACAGAGCAAGAACAGTGAAGGAAGTCTGTTGGACTCTTGCAATTCCGCTGGTGGGAAATGAGCAGATAGAGCTAGTCAGCTGCAAACATGTGCTGCTCATCACGAAATGGAAGGACGGCTCTGAGAGCAGTGACTTAGCCCAGATGACGGAGCTGCGGGTGCAGAGAGTAGGTCATCAAGCAACAGGATTGTTCCCAGGCCTTGAAACCTAACGGAATTTTCCCTGCTGGATTTTGATGTTCCTTGGGACTGGTGACTTCTTCCTGCTTTCCATTTTCTCCCTTTTGGAACAGGAATGTCTAAACTGTTATCCTATGTCTGTCCCGCCATTGTGTTTTGGAAGCAGATAACTTGTTATCTAGCTTAACAGGTTCACAGATGGAAAGACATCTTGCCCTAGCACGGATTCCACTGAGTCTCACCCGTTCCTGATTGACATAATTAGATGACGAAATTCGGTGCCTTTGAGCTAATGAGATTTAAATAAGATTTTGGACTTAGGAGTTGATGTTGTAATGGGTTGAGACTTCTGGGTATGTTGGGATGAGGTGAATGTATTTTGCACGAAGGACAGATGTTAATTTTGGGGGGCCAGTGGGCAACTGTAGGGTTGAATGGTGGCCTTCAGAAAGATTGGTCCACATCCTAATGCCTGGAACCTATGAATGTGACCTTATTTGAAAAGAGAGTCTGCAGATGTGATAAAGAGAAGGAACTTGAGATGAAGAGAGCATCCCCAGTCTTCCAGATGGGCTGTACTTCCAATGACAGGTGTCCTCATAAGTGACAGAAGAGAAGACACAAAGATGAGAAGTTATTATGAAGAAAGAGGCAGAAATTGGAGTGATGTGGTCACAAGCCAAGAAAACCGACAAACACCAGAAGTTGGAAGAGGTAAGGAACAGAATCTGCCCCAGAACTTTAGAGGAAGCCCAGCTCCACTGACATGTTGATTTAGGCCTCCTGGACTCCACGCTTGTGAGAGAATAACTTTCTGTTGTTTTAAGCTTCCAAGTTTATGATAACTTTTTACGGCAGCTCCAGGAAACTAAGACACTTGGAAACAGCATCAAGCCCCAGGTAGGAGACCCACAGATCGCTAAGGCCCTCAGACCCCGGGGTGCATGTGACAGCTTCCCTGATGCAGTGACCACGGGGTTTCCAGCTTGCGTGAATAGTCATAGCAGCATTTCCAGGGCATAGCAAGAAAAGTGTTTAACCTGTACCTTATTCTGCTTGCTTTTAAACGTATTTACCAGTAAACTAAAATTAAGTTGTAAGATTAAACTGTAGGATAAAAATAAACTCCACCTTACTGGACTAATTTTACTTTTAATTATTTAGATTTTAATTTACGTGCGTCTCTATATTAGAAGAAATCCTTTGGCACTTTATTCTTTGCTACTATAACCTATAATGAATTTTTCTTCATCATTTTTTAAATTAAATGAAAAAGAAAGATAAACTTCTTATTGCTAAACTCCTAAGAGATTGTTTCCTTTATTGGCCAGTATTAGGAAAGCTGGAATAATTTGCTCTGGGGGAATCAAAATCTTCAGAAATTGTTAGTCTTCATCGACAAAGACATGGACGGAGATAACCATATTGTTTACCACCCTGGAACCAGATGGCTAATACTATTCCAAAAATTACAGGTCATGACTTGTTAGGGTAATTGAGGGTTTAACAGAGGCTATTATAGGAGAGGTGTAGACACTTATGTTAGCAGATATTTATGACAATACCAGCAGCACAGCAATAACAGCTGACATGCTGGGCACGGTTCCCCAAGGCGAAGCACCGTGCAGCAGGGTGAGAGATGACTGGCTGGGCTTTCTTGGTGCTTGGGGCTCTCCACAATGGGGCACAACCATCTCCACCCCACAACCTTGGGGCTTAGTGGGGCGGTCACAGCAGGTCTGGCCTTCCATCACCTTCATTGCCCGACAGTTGTGTGTGTCCCAGGGGAAAACGCCAGCACACAGGCAGAGACAGAACAGACCTTCCGAAGAGCAGGAAAATTTGGGACAGAGCGAGCGATAATTTTACCTTAGCCTAATTTAATGCTCACAACCATCCTCCAAAATTGGCGTGTCTATCATCCTCATCGGGAGAAAGGCATTACACATCACACCCTTCTCAGTCTGTGGCTACTGTTAGCCTTCCTCAGCACAGGTCCTGCTGATGTCTGGCACAGGACTTTCCTGGAGCACCAGCCTTGATGCACACGGGACCCTTCAGGCAGACCAGATTCACTGCAGCCGTGCCGCCACGTGGGGCAGTCCCACTTTCTCCTTCAGCCACGTCGGCAGTGACATTTAAACAATAGGATCCACAAAACTCAAGGGAGAACATAG